GTTAGAGACTCAGAAATGATTTAAAGATGTTATGCTGATGAAGACTGACATCTAGTGGTCAACTGGAGMAACTACATGGAAAACTTTAAAATCCAAGCTCTTATTTTGAAGGGAAGATACTGGTTTCCTGTACTCTGTGCTTTCGTTTCCCGTCACAAATCAAATCCGTCTTGTACCCAGAATACATCGCTTCAGTTTTCCAATAAACAGTTTAAAATTACTTTATTGATGCTTCTTTAATGAAAAATCTACAACAAACAAAAGAAAAAGACAAAGAAGCAGCCGAACTAGCAATCCTCAACARCTTTTTAATTTTTACACCAGGAGCTAAAGGTCTGTTTCAGGAAATCACATCCCCAGCTATCAGAGGTTGTAGGGTTAAGTTGTACAAGGGTTCATACACCACTAGTTGGCAGTGTTGTGTATATTGTACATGAATTGTCAGCTAGTAAGGGACAAATTGAACTTGTGCTGTAAAATTAGCTTCTGCCAGTTTTTCTGTGGCATAAGCATTTTTGAAGTTCTGAACCTAAACATTTTCATAAGTACTTTRGAAACTGCGGAGCTAATTTTTGTTTTAGCGCTGCCGACCTCTGACACTGAGTGAAAGACAGCAGTCAGGCTGAAGCCAGAGCTCAGTTTGAAGAGCTTTTCTTTAAGCATGGAGGGGACGGGAGCCAGAGGAGAATGTTTGAGACAAAAACCTTGATCCTCTTAAACTAATGGAGATTTAAAGTGACAGCAACAACACACTGTTGTGTGTTCATGTTACACAGTCAGACACACAGGTTTCRTCACTTCATCCTGACATATTTCTTTAAATAAAGACAAAGCTCTTTTGTTATGTCAGCTGGACAAACCCCTGAACAAAAACAAATTWAAAGCTCTGTATTCAAGAMCMSTAAAGTCAACATGAGTGTACACCCTGAGTGTTTACAGGCTCACCATTTCTTGGACTTCAGCTTGGGTGGAGGGTTTCGAGGAATCAGGAACAGAGCTCTCATTGGATGCATGTCACAGAGAGCTGCCAGGAGAGTAGGATACAGGAAGATGAGAGACATTAGGTCAGCATCAGAGAAAAGAGCAGAGCATTTATATCTGCAGGATGATATTCACAAAACTAAACCCTCCTCCCTTTGTTTTATGTATATTATCTGGTCCTTTGACAGGTTCTGATAAAAACATGAACAATTAGAACGTCTCAAACTCATGTTTTACCAGGACAAAATGCAACAACAACAACAACAACAACAACAACAGGTGGGAAAGTGAAACCATGATTTGTGCTTTTGTTGTGCAGCATGAATGTAAAGGTGTTGTGTTGTTTCCACAGGTGGTGACTCAGGGTCTGCACAGAGTCCAGGTCCTGTGGCTGCACAACATCTGTCCTGACACATGTTTGTTTTTCACCAAACGTGACACTGTGCATCACGGGTCAACTTCTGTGTGCAGGACACTGTTCCAGAATGATGGACAGATTATTTTCATCAGCCACTGCCACAGACCTGTGCTCGTCTGTCATGAAGCACAGATGATGTTAGTGGACCTGTGTCATCAGAGCTGCTGATGATCTGCTTTCCTTCAAACACTGAGCCCTGGAATCACACAGGTGTTCTCCTCAAACTCTAAACAACACATATTGTTTCAGTCTGTCTCTAATCCTTCTGACCTTTAACCTTTGACCTGCGGACTGAGGCCTGTAGGCTCTGACCTGAGGCTCCTGGGTTTTTATTTAGTCATTTCTCTGAGCATTGCACAGTCTGACCTTGGGGGGGATTTGCTGGAACATCCACTCCTGGGAAGATCGGCAGCTGTCCCAAAAGTTTTCACTTGTGAACAATATTTGTTAATGTAGAGCAGTGGGGGTGGGCAGAGAGTACAGGAGGCAGGGGACGGATCCATAACCTTTGTCTGCTCACATGTTATATGAGCTTATTGACTCTATACTAAAATGACCAAAACAAGTATTTTAATTGACTGAATTATTCATTAAATAATTAAAACCCTATAAATCAGTTCTATGGGATAAGTCTTGTGCCAGCAGGAAGTGAATCTGAATGTGCATCATTTCAAATTCAATGCATTGG